CCGCTCTTCGACTTCAAGAAAGTGTTCAAACGGTTACAGAGCGGATTGATAGAGAGCGACCCGGTGACGGCAAAGCGGCTACTGCTCGGACTGCATGAGCGGTTCTACCATGCGCCCATCGGCGACTTCAAGAACATGCTGCTGAGAGCTGGGATGTCCTCGGACATTCTGCCCCTGGCTGAGGAAGCAGTGATGTCGTGCTCGATATGCAGGAAATACGTTCGGCTTCCGAACAGGCCACAAGTCAAGATAGGAGCCGGAGCCGGCGTCTTCAATCACCGGATCCAGGCGGATTTGTTTGAGTACAAGAAGGTATGGATCCTCCTCATCATTGACGAGGCGACTCGGTTCAAGGCAGCTACCTCGGTGATGTCCAAGGACTTTGCGGAGATCACGAGGAAGATGGTGGAACACTGGTTCACCGTGTACGGCGCACCCATGCAGTTGGTGATGGACCAGGAGACCGGGATGATGTCTCACGAAGCTGGCAAGGAACTCGAGCGCTTTGGCATCGACCGAGTTCCCAAGGGCACCACCTCTGGAGATGCCGGGAAGCAACACACCGGCACCGGACTGGTGGAGCGACACGTCGGCCTCCTTGAGCTGACGATGCAGAAGCTGGAGGCCGAGCTGGATCGACAAGGCATTGCGATCATGCCACATGAGCTGGCGAAAGAATGTTCCATGGCGCACAACCAAAGCCTCAACTACAACGGGGCCACTCCATCGATGGCTGTTTTCGGAGTTCTGCCCCGGCCGTTCTACCAGGAGGACACGGACAATGTGGTGGCCATGGCAGGTGCCCTGCAGACGGACATCACGCCGTTTCAGCGGGCATTGAGGATTCGCCAGACCTCCTTGTCGATGGTCCAGCGAGCTGTTGCGGAAGACCGGGTGGCTAGAGCGAACCGCTCTCGACCTCATCAACTACGATTGAGTGAGTTGGTACCAGGTACCACCCTCGTCGACTACTACCGTGAGGTCAATGGCGATGTTGGATGGCGCGGACCCGCAGAGTTGCTGAAGGTGAGCCGAGAAGAAGGAACAGCGATTCTGTCGTACCAAGGAAGGCCCTACTTGCCGTACAAGGTGATGACGGTGGGATGGATCGTGGAGCACAAGGACGGGTGCACTATGTGGAGACGATCGGCGACCAGCTCCTTGTCATACCAGGAGACCTGGGGCCACATCACCTCCGTGGCAAGGGCACTTTCCAGTCGAGCGGTTGGAGGCGCTCTGTTTGGGCATGGCGTTCGGAGCTTTGTGCCACCGAAGCAGTCTGTGGGTGTGCTGCTGTACTGGAAGATGCATGAAGCTGGGATGAGCTTCCACGAGCACACCACAGATGAAGTCATCGTGATGAAGAAGATCACGACCAACGTCATCGAGAATACCGCCTTCTTGTATGTCTACTTTTGCGTCTTTCCTGACTACGAGGCGAAGAAGGACATGCGAGTGCTACCTTCGGAAGGTTTCGATGACGTGGACGTTCCCATGAACGGAGATGACGGTGGACCGATGAGTGTTGGGAGCTCCTCGCCAAGGACGCCTACCTCACCTACCACAACCTCGACTGAGCCAGACTCCCCGCAATCCATGGATACGGAAGAGGAGTCTACCCGCGGTGAAAAGCGCAAGGGCCCTGACACCAGGACAGTGACTTTGGCTCCTGAAACCAAGAAGAGCAAGCTGGAGGAGCTGTTCGCTCTGATGTCTGATAGGAGAGTGCATACCACGGCGCAGCACAACCTCGTCAACCTGTACTGGGTGATGCACTGGACGCAGGCAGTTCCCACTGAATACCCGGACATCTGGCAGTCCTACGAGAACAGTGTGTATGTGGCTCAGTGGGATCTGTTCATGAGCCGGCAGACCGACCATGTGGTCACGAATGTCAAGAACACCAACTACTACCTGTTCCAATGGTCGGGCAAGGTGAACTGCGAGCTCATGGCGTGCCTGAACTCCGGCGAAGTCTACAAGGTGGACGACGAGACCGACAACTTGTCGGAAGCCGACTGCTATCCCATCTGGGATCAAGTGGAACGCGCCGACGAAGATGAGATCAAGCAGTTCGTCGACACCAAGAGCTTCGAGAAGATGCACCGGAACTCGTTGACCAGTGATGTGATCGTCATAGATGCAGTATGGGTCAGGAAGTGGAAAAGGCTTCCTGACGGCAGCCGGAAAGTAAAATCTCGACTCTGCGCCCGGGGCTGCTTCGACAAGCAGAAGGACCTCCTTAGCGCCAGAAGTACGACGGCCACGAGATTGTCTCAACGTTTACTGATGTCTTCGGCCGCGGTGCATGACCTGGACTGCGAATCTTGGGACATTTCGGGAGCTTTCTTGAAGGGGCTTTCGTTCGAGAAGGTTCGGGAATTACTGAAGGCGAAAGGCATCCGAACCCCCGTCCGCAAGGTGGCGGTGATTGTCCCTGCCAATGTCTGGCGACACTTGGGCAAGTTTGATCCGCAGTTCCGCGTCGATGTGACCAAGCTCGGCGACTACGTGCTACTGTGCCTGAAACCAGTGTATGGTCTTTCGGATGCTCCCCTCGCCTGGCAATTATGCCTACATGCCCATTTCGAAGGTCAGAAAGGGCATCCGTCATTGATGGATGAAAATTACTTCTTCTGGCGAGATCAGAAAGATCGATACATTGCTGGCGTCACCACGCACGTTGATGACTGTGGCGCCGTTGGCAAGAAACGTTGGTTGGATGAGCAGTACTCGCTCCTCATGGCCAAGTTCGGCAAGGTCACACGGCAGAAGCTTCCCTTCATGCACTGCGGCGTCCTCTACAGCAAGATCAGTGACGGGTTTCGTATGTCACAAGACGATTTCTGTTCCAAGCTTCGACCCGCGAGCATTGCCCCTGGCCGGAAGGACACCGACCAGCTCACTCCCGAGGAGCTCACAAACTTCCGAAGCATCCTCGGCGGTCTACTGTGGTTGACGGCCACGAGGTTGGATCTGGTGTCCGACGTCTGCCTGCTTCAGTCACAAGTGACTCGAGCTCGAATCGAGCACCTCAAGCAGGCCAACAATGTGGTGAAGAAGGCCAAGGCCGAGATTGGGCAGAACCTCGGCATCGTCTTCCGCAGACTTCGGCCTCCTCTGCGGCTAGCTTGTGTGCACGACTCTTCAGCCGCAGGGAACGTGCGAACTATGCCCAGGAGGGTGTGTTAGTGATGTTGTGTGAAGACGGCCTGGGTGACTTTTCCCGCGACGAGGAGCACGTGATGCAGGACTACCAGACGAAGCTCCTCGGCGGAAAAGCCCACATCTTGTGGGCCCATGGCGCAAAGGCCAAACGCATCAGCTACTCAACGTCTCATGCCGAGACTCTGGCGGCCATATCTGGTTTGGAGGCCAGCACACTGGTGGCCGTACGCTTGGCAGAGCTGATGTACTTGCCTGGTCGGCCAAAACTTCAGGCGCTCATTGCAGCTCAAGAACAAGGCATCCCCCTGCTTCCTGTGGACGATTATACGGACTGCCGCGACTTCTTCGAGCTGGCGAGTGGGGACAAGTCAGTGTCGCAGGATAAGAACCAAAGGCTATACATCCTCGCCTTCAGGGAGGCCCGGATGACTGGGCGCATCAGATGGCTGGTGCTCTGTCCGACCGAGTCGATGACGGCGGACGCTTTGACCAAGGCGATGATCTCTCCCGCGCTCATGACGCTTCTCAGCAGCGGCCAAGTTGAGTTCTTCAACGCGGGCGAGCACCGGATGACATTGCGCTCCCTGCCGCGCCTGGCCAATGTGACCGAGCAGCATTTTGACATGCACGACCGCGACTTGATCCGCGAAGTGTCGACTTTGGCCGCCTCTTCCTACCTGGCTACGACGAAGACTCGCGGCTTGTGGCTAGCTATGTTCTTGGCGGCAATGGCAACGCCAGTTTCGGCATCCACTTCGACATCCACGGCGACTTCCACATTGAGCTCTACGGCAAGCCCGACATCTTCAACTTCATGGGACGATTGGCGATGGTTCTTCACCCTGGTCACAATCGTTGTGGTGACCGAACGACTTCTTTGGCAGTCAGCCAAACTTTGGTGGAGACATCTGACTCGACCTGGAACCAGTACCTCTACGACTCCAACGGCTACCTCGACCACGACAACATCTGACGACATGGACGTGGACGATGCGTACATCGGCGAGGAGACAACCGGTGACATGCGCCTCCAGCGACTCGTGGACGAGCTCACAGTCGAAAGGGACTATCTTCGTGAACTGAGTCAGCGACAAGCTACGGAGCTAGCGAATTCTCGTGCGCTGGCTGAGAATCGCTGGAGCACTGTGGAGCGTCTTTCAAACCAGCTCCATGCCCAAAGACGCGAGTGGTGTGGCGATGTGTATGTTACCACTGCGACTTGCAAGGTTTACCACCGCAATCGAAACTGCAGTCACATTCGTACGAACAACAGCGTTAGGGCCCTGAGACCTTGCAAAGATTGCGGTGAAAACCATTAGGTCGGGACCGTTGAGCGGAGTGAACTTTTCTGTACAGCCATGACACTCTGCATACATAAGAACTGAATGCATACGCTGCAGCGCTTGAGCCCGAAGGAAAAGCATTTCTCTTAGTTGCCCCTGGCCAGCGGCGGATCCGGTCTGGCTTAAAGGGGAAGCGGGTGAATGCCCCAAGCAAAGATGGAGAGGAGAGCACCGATCAGCCCGAGAGAGCGGTAGAGGAGCGCCGCAGAGAGATTCTGAACCACGCAGATGACAAGCAGAAAGCGCACGGGTGTGACTGCCTGCCGCTCCGGCTGTTGGACTTCCTCACTCTAAGATGCAAGCCTCAAAGCCCAAAGTTAATTAACAGCGCTGCAGCCTTGCACCCTACCAAGATCTTCCGACATGACCTTGCAGTGTAAGGGCTTGAGCCTCCTTTTTTGCGAGCAAGACAATGCACAGAAGATGCCGCGGTTGATCGAGCCTGTCTGCGCGTGGCTTGCACGAGTAATGCCTGCGTCTGCTGCGAAGGTACAACTGCTCCTGGAGCCAGGGTCCCAGCATGGTCAAGTTCCGCACGTCTATTTTGCAAACTAGGGTCTCTTCGCTATTCTCAACACCCTCCATAGCCTCAAATCGACAGCAGATTGGTTCGGTGCGCGGGGCCCTTCTGTAAATGCTCTGCTTGGGCATCTGACAGGTGTCACACTCTTCTGAAAGGATCTGGTCACCTCTCGCTGTGTCGTGCCACTGCCCTTCCACTGTACTCCTGAACGCTTGCGAGTGAGCTTTGGATTTTGCACTGGCCGTCGGCAAACTTTATGAGGTGACTGTACACGTCTACTTATTGCACACATCTCGATGGTTCAGAGCACTGGAGGGCTGTGCATGCAAGAAGCGCAGCCGCATGCCGTTTTCTGAATCGTGAACCCAGCGTTGCTGGCATGACTGATGGTGCTGACAGCCCGTCGGAGTAGCAAGCGTGTTAGGAGGGCAGCAGGTCAGGTGCAGTCTGTTTTGTGGTCTTGCGTGTCAAAGCTTAAAGCTGCATTCATTTCAGGTCAGTGGTCAGCTTGGTCAGCCTGTTCGGCTACGTGTGGACGCGGAGGGGCAGCACCCTCAATGAAGAGTCCAAAAGCATGGCTCCTGCACCAGTCGTGTGTTGCCTGAGGTGCAAGCTCGCAACCGTCAATTGCAGGCAGCTTCTTCCCGATGTTTTCAAACATGTCGCTGTCTGCTTATGATTTGCAGGTGGGCCACAGTTCCGTGGATGCACCGGTGCCTTCCTCAATGATTGAAAATGTCTCTGTCGGGCCGAAAAGCGTAGTTTATGTTGAAGGCCGCTGGCCTCGTCGTGAGTCGGTTGGCTCCACAGTTGCGGAGCCTTCAGAGACTTCCTGGGATCCGTCGATTTGCCTTCCATGCTTCAGGTCAGGGCCGAGGAGGGAACCGGGCAGTGCATCAATCGCTTCCGAGCACCAGCTTGGGCCGACGGAAGTTGCCTTCGCCCTAAGTCCTTTGAAGGCATGGAAAACATTGCCAAGACGTCGCAAGCGAGGTGGACTTCAACTGTGCGGAGAACATGAACTGGCAAGATGATTGGCCTCACGATGTGAAAGCCTACTGCTGCCTGACACTGAGCGCCTGTGTCCCATGCCATACAGCGCCACATATCGCCACGGAGTCCCAGAAACTGCGTCGTGAATAAATAGGGTGTTCTCGTGCAGTCTTGACAGACCATGCTTTGCGAAGTCGTAAGACTGCCCTTGAGGTCAAAGGGGGATCTGCGAGGCTGACTCTCGCTTTGCAAGAATCCGTGCCCTTCTTGTCTGCACGACAGTTTCGCCAGGGCCAGGCGGCTGCGTGCACGCCCCAGCGACGCTGTATCCGCCACTTGCGAGCTGTGTCGGCTTTGTGCAGATATGTGCAGCGACTCCGCCCCCCGCCTCCAAGTCCAAGCACGCTGAGCGCCGAATATTTGCCCAGTGACGACCCTGTCTTGGAGGAGATGTCTGGAACTTGGTAGCTGCAGAGCCCGCAAGCAGAAGGCGCCGCATCCGCAGCCTCACATGGCCTCACGAGGTCACCTTCGGACACTGTCATCCGGTACGACCGGCATGGCCTGTCCTCGCTCAAGGAGCAGGCAAGCACTTTTCAGCAGAGCTCGACCCGCGTTCCTTGGCCTTCCCCTTCCACTGTTCCAGGTGAGAGCTGCAGAGGCCCGACACCACAGGGCAGCTTGTCTTAGATGACCTGAAGATATCTGCAGTCGTCCTCGCATCCGCAAGGGCTTGTGATTCATGCGATACCCAGGACCGCTTGCTCGCCTTCATCCTCGGCAGCGGATGCTTGGATCTCGGCGACGATCTTTGCAGTTTGCTGGTGCCTCTTTGGGCTTGTCGTGAGGTCTCCTCACTGGATTAATTCTTAGCAGCACTGGCCTCAATGTATCTGGTCCTCCGTGGAGACGGCGCCCGACTGCTCAGCCTCAGGAGTCTTTTCCACCAGCAGATCCACTGCTGAAGTGCTTCCACGGCCAGGGCCTCACTCAGGCCAATGGCAAGTGACGCAGTACTCGGCCACTGCAGGTACGATGCCGTACATCAGATTCTTTGACACGTGACCAGACTGCTGTAGTAGTTCGTGGTTTTGGCTGCGAGATTGAGCCAGCAAGCCACAGCGAAATTGGAAAGTCAGAGTGCCAAAAGGCTGGGGGAAGATGCCCACATGTTTGGTCGCTCAATCTGCCGCATTTTTGTATTGATATCTGCACCAAAGGTTGCCTGAGTTGCACAATTCAGCAGTTCTGGGCATCTGTCATTGAACAGCTTGTGACCGAAACGCAGGACTTTAGAGCACATTGCGAGACAGACCTGCCTAGTTATGTGGGTTGACGGTCCAGACCCGAGCCACATGTCACGAAGATTTATGCTTCAATGGGTGAAAGTATAAGGTTCGGAACTTGCAAGACATCTTTGTGAAATTCGGTGCTAAAGAGTTCCGCTTGCATGATTCAGTGGCTTGTGCAAATGCATGGCTGCAAAATGCACAGCATGGTTGCTTCTCAGCTCTGTTGCACTGGTTCAGGTGTTCTTGGAGAAGCTGACAAGCCAGCTTTGCCGCATCCGCTCAAAGTAGGAGAATCGGCATAATCACATACAAGCTCAGGCAACAGACCCTCCGAGGCTACATGCGGGCCGATAGTATCTCTGCAAGAACGAGGCAGCTCCAACGGCACGAGGAGTGAGGCAGTGCGGTTCTGAAAATTGCCTCCGCAATGCGCCGATGTGATTTCCGGGAAGGCGCCCGGATGAGGGGAACAAGAAAGGATGCAACAGAACGTTTGTGAAGGTGCAGGCCGTGACCGGCCAGTTATTTGCGCAAGGACGGGCTCCTCCCCAACCCATGGTCCTCCTCTTTGATTCTGGGACCCGTATTTGGAGGTTTGCTACAGTTCATCCAGGAATCATTACAGCGGCTTCGATGTCGAAACAAGGCGAGGTTGTCATCTGAGAATCACCACCGAAGCATCTATGAAGACATTTCTTTAAATGAGCCGAGAAGCTTGCGACAGTGTGCGCGCAGTGTCACCCTGTCGGGTGAACCATGCCCAGGCACGTAGGGTCGTGGATCCAGGATCGGGCATTTGACAGCTCGTCGACCTTCCACTTGTGACTTGAGGACACATGGCATGGTTTGTCCCGTTGATGCTGCTGCTGAGCATCCCACGTGTGAGCTGCTCAAGGGTGAGGGTCGCGAGCACGAGGGAAGTAAACATCTTGACATCAGGCCTTCGGAGTCGGGGATGCTTGCAACAGATCCTGCCTCAGTCTGCCCCTTCGTGTCTGGGTTGGGTATGCGCTTTGCCATGCCAGCCAAGGCAGCGCGGTGACGAGCCTCCCGCCTTTCGTGGACCACAAGACTGTTCGCAAAGGCAATTGTGGTGCAGCGCTGGCATTGGCGAGAAGAGCCGTGAGGGTTTTGACGCCCGCGCAGGTCAAGGCGAAATGATCTGGAGCTTCCCCCCTCCTGCAGAGGCGGCATGTCTGGTAATTCCTGCACGGAGATCAATTCATTCATGCCTTCTGGGTGATTCCAGGATTTCGCCATTGTGCTGACGCCGTCGAACAGCTCAGTGAACCCCGACATGAGGTGGGGGGAACCGGTTGTGAACTGCACCTTATGGTAGCAAAGCTTTGGACTGGCAGGCTCTACATGGCCTCACCCACGACTGCATGCCAGCCCATGTTGAATTCACAGGATCACCTTGAGCGATGGATTTAGCAGGCTCTGAAATGGTTGTGCCGTAGCACTGTCGTTCTGGCTGCGGGTTTGCGGCTTGAAGTCTGGGATTTGGGTGGTGAGTGTGGTTTTGTTGGCTCTGCGACCGCCTGATCTTCTGGTTTGAAGCATTTTCAAGGCTTGTTCAAAGAAGCACACCTGGTGGCAAGGAGCTTGGCGCAGACTACATGCGGCTTGGCAGGAACCTGACGGAGCACTGGAACGTCCCGGGCCCAGCAAGCATGCCAACAGCTCCCAGAATTACACGGGGTAAAGAGGGGGAGTAGACACGCCCAGGTTTCGGTGTACTTCCTCCACGTCACCTGCAGGGATGAGGTTCCTCGCAGTTCTACGTGCATCACTTTGCCTCTGCTAGCTTCGGCTGCTCCGAGAACCATGAGCTTCTTGACATCCCTGAAAACCGCAAGTGTCGTAGGAGGCCGCCCGACAGTCTCAGACTGCTCTCCGGGACTCTGCAGGAAACGTGCCGGTATCACTTGGCCTTGTCGAAGTTTGAAGAGTGGGAGGCCAGGATCTGATGGAGTGCCTAAGCTGGGCATCACTCTGTGGGCACAGGAGATGGCAGCTGGTGAGCAAAGGTCTGCGATTGCCTACCATGGAGTGCCTCTCCATTTCAAGTTTCGATGCACCGCGACGTCCGCTCCCGAGCACAAGCGCCGCTTGATATTGGAGCTGCTGTCTCTATCTCTTGGCGAGGTGTGCCAACGCATCAGAAGCCGGCACTCAGCGGCGGATAACGTTCAGGCAGGCCAGTGTGTCGTGGCCGCAGGGCTTTTCCTGCTGCTCGCATCGCATGCCAGTGCATGGCCTCGGGATGCATCTTCACTGAGACATTTGTCGCTTCTGGCTTGGTCCTCGCGGCTGAAACTGACACCTCGACAAGCTATGGCAGAGCGGATTCATGCGTTGCCATCACTTCAGGTCCGCCGTGGCGACTATCCGACCACAAATGCTCACGAGCACATCAATGCCAATCCCTGAGCACGGGTCGTGACAGTGCTTCACATCGGAGAGGTGACGTTAACACTCCTCATCTTCGTAGCACGTTCCAACGATGGTGTTGAAGAGATTCTGCGCCGGAAGGCGAGCAGAGGATGGTTTAGCGGGGAGGCTTGCTCTGGCGACAGACTTGTATGGCTGTCTATGTTGGTTCACAAGCCTGTGTACAGGTGGTCAGCACAACTGCGAAAGCAGGAACTTACTACGTGACAGTGCTGAAAAGGCCGATGATCAGCCTCCTTCTGTCAAAACTTCAACTTTCTTGCTTTTGTGAGGCACGGTTTGTCGACGCTTCCCTTCGTGATATCTGTGACCACGGCTTCTTCAATTGAAATGCCGAGTAGCGTTTTTTTTCCAACGATGGCCAGGTGTCTTTGCCTACGACGATCGAGACACTGCAGCTGGGAAAGCCAACTTTTGGAGCTGCTCAGAAGCCGGCAGCACAGCGTCCAAAACAGATACAGGCTTACAGTGGTCGACGCTTGCCGTGTGCTGAAGAGTGTTTGTAGACTGGGATTCCACTAGCTTCCTGAGGTGGGTGAAAGCGAAGAGTTGGCCATAGATGGGGAGTCAAAAACAGAACTTGGAGTAGAGCACAGTCACAAACGGTTTCAACAAGGTTCTGAAACGAGATGCGGCGTCCGAGATGCCCCAGCTGACCCCTCCTCCCCCACTGCTCTCTTTGGCCTGTCGTTCCGCCAGATGGACGTATAAGTGACATGGTGAAGCTACTCGTTTCAGCTGAGGGGCGTCCCATCCTTCTACAAGTTCTACGTCGCTCGAGCTGAGACTGACATTGAGGCCACGGGAAAGTTCGACCTGAGCGGTCCGTCTTGTCTCTATGTAGTCTGCACAGGCATCTTTCACTGGGCTACGCGCACATGCACGCCAGCTCTCCCTTTGCCTTCTGTTACTTCCCTTTTTTGCTCTATACATAAGTAAACACAGTACACACATGTTTATACAAATCCACATATTGCACCATATGTGTACATATGACATACATATGTAATACATATGTAATACATATGTATATATATGTATGTTATATTAATATTTTCATATTATATACAATATAGATAAAAAAATGTGTATATGTATATATATATATGATCCCGGTTCGGCCGCCCCCACCCCGTGGTGCGGGGCGGTCAAGTCTACGAAGGTTCCATGTCACAGCTGCTAGACTTGTTGGAAGTCTTCCATGGATGCAAGGAAACCTTTTGCTTCGATGTTGTGGCAGAGCCAACAGACATTGAGGACGCAAATGCAGGTTTTCTCGATCTTCTTGCGGGATCGTCTTCTGGTGCGGTCTCAAAAAAACGAACTGCTTCCCAGACACAGGCTGTGCAAGTAGCTGGTCCCCACAATGAAGAGGAAATCGATGTTGGCGGGGAGTTGATGAACCTCATGAAGCGGGAGATCGAGGAGGCCGTGGACCTTCTCAGCCGCAAGCACACAGCAGCCAAGCGCTATTGCCCGTCCGGCACCAAGCAACTCCGGCTCGTCGTGTCGATCTACGACCAAGATGCCACCGTCGGGAAGGAGATGCACCCAGCTTCCTGACACGGGCTGCAGCCATTATGCGCGCGGACGTGAAGCCGCCGGTGCCCACAAAGATCGTTCATGTAGACAATTTCGTCAGATATGTCTTTGACTGGAACGGTCCTATCATTATGGCGCTACATACCATCAAGACAAGGTTTGACCTGAGACGTGTGGGTAATTTCTACTACACGTATGACTTTGCGTGTGCCTTTCTGCAGGCTGCAACATCGGGCAATGGCTCGCTACATAAGATATGTGACTACTTTCTGGGCTCCTGCAAGCGCCATGATAGGCAGCTCTCCTCGCTGCTACCACGTGCGACGAACACATTCTGGGTCAATGTATTCGAGGATCTCATGAGTGCCCCCCCCGGCGCGGACTATCATGCTAGTCTACTTCAGGAGTGCTGCGAACATGACGAGTTCCGCTACTTCAGCATCGGCGCCACGTTCAAGGCGAACCTAAAGATCATTGGGCAAGCTAATTTCCATTCCTCACAGTCTCTGCGCGAGGACGCTCCCATCCCAGAAGATGAGGCTGCGTATCGCACATTGACCTGTCGAGGTCGAACAGGAGCCGCTCTTCTCATTAGCATGGTTCGCTCCGAGAAGGCCAGCGTGCCGACAGCCTGTCAAAGAAGCTTTCCATCCAGCAGAGAACTCAGATTCAGCATGTGGCCTCGGACATTCCGTCGGCAGAGATGTTTCGTGTTCTGAAAGAAGTGCTTCCCCAACTCCAGAGCCTTGCGTTGGATGCCATGCACATTGTTATGGTATACCAGCAGAACATGAGCAACAAAAAAACCCATGGCAGTCGTTGGCTTGCACTCATGATGGATAAATTCAGAAAGCGCGGCAGCGTCCTTCTATACCGGACAGACTTTGCCGTCAGCCGGCGCGGACGTCCGCTCCATGCGGATCCGTCTGGATAAGCCCGACATGTCAGAGTCACAGGCGTATACTTGCCTGGAGAGCTTAGATCCAGATACACCCTGGCTAACTGAGATTGAATTTCTGGAGGCATGCCTGGCTCATCTGTCTTTGTTTGGGGAAGAAGTGAAGACAATCACGTTTTCCGGCGCTTCTCTTCATCGACTTGTCATCAATGTCGCATCTCCCGCCAAGATCCAGTGGTTGTTCAACGACACTCGCTACCGTCACTCCAGCGAGCGACAGCAGCTGACAGTGCTTCCGAGCGGAACAACATCCAACGAGAGTCTTCACCACGAACTGAATTACTGGCTTCGGGAGACGGCGACTCGGCTGCATTCGACATTCGCCGTTTCATGCAGGGCTGCACTCCTGTGCTTTCTAGATACCTGCAGGCTGCCCTGCACACGGCCACTCTCGCGATGGAGCTGGATCTGTTTCACTTTGTTAAGCTTTTTACCCATAATCAAGCCCTGTACAGACCTCTCCAGAGGCAGGCTGCCCAATCTGAGCTCACGTCGCGAGCCATGACAGCGAATGTTCAGGCCATTCTACCGCGGCCTTCATGGCGTACGTGGTGGCAACTTAAGGCTCCCGGTGCTTCTCCGAGAAAGGCTGTATTGCACGTTGTGGAACAAGGAAGCCGAGTGCGTGCAACCATTCGGGACAGCACCAGAGCTTCTACTTCTCAGACTGCCAATCCAAAAGGCAAGCCAAAAGCTCCGCGCTTGCCGAAGAGTATTCCCACAAGGCGTACACCATTCCGGCTGAGAAACATCAGCCCGGTGATTCGTCCTGGCCGTAGATCAAAGCACATCTAATTGTCCATGTTTGATTTCTCGGGTGCTCCAGTGCAGGAGGTGTTACGATCGAGTTGTGTTACTATGCCAGTGCCATGCATTTACATCGGTTGTTGACAGAATATTGGAAGGCGGCATGTGGGAAGCCGGTGGCAGCAAACTTTTCTCGTGTCAGCGGCGAAAGCAATGCAAAGAGTTTTGGATACTCCCATGACGTTCCCTGCTCGCTCATCGGAGCTAGTGTCTGTCGACTCCACTAGGCTTGTGTCGTGTTCCAGGTCTCTTCGCATCAACTTTTCCGCTTCCTACCTTCACGAGTGTCACTTGGCAGTACTCTATCATTTCGTAAAAAGCCTCACTCATTACCTGTGAAACATCGAAGGTGTTTCCGGTGTGAAAACATGGACTGTGTCTTCCTGCTGTGGCCAGGCAAGACTATTGTCAGCTGTTTGCGATGTAGGGAGCATATACCACTCGACGTTGCTCTTCCGCGTCCATTGTGCTAGGAAGTTTCCACGGAGTCGTGGTAGATTTCGAAGTGACCATATCGTATGACATGGAGAGTGACTAGTCGTAAGCTAGAGATTTTCTCTGGAATATATGTCGCTGTGTCACGCGTTGCACAGACAGAATGTCCGTGCTGGTAATTTAAGTCCTGAAACCAGAGTTGAACTGTGTGTGCCACTACTTTTGGTGATGCTAATGTAAGGTCCGTGATGGATAGTACAGTCCATGCACTTCATGTTCATCACAGAAAAATTCATGAATAATCATGATCATCTTCCCTCATACACAGATTCGGAGGGCTTCCTCTCAAGGCTTGAAGGAACAACACCGTGTATACTGAGCAACTCCGTGTGCTGACACAATGTTTACTTCGAAAAGAAATCGACATCAAGACGTGAGACTTCTGCCTGATTTCCTTATACCGCTGTGTCTGGATTTGCTGCCTCATTGCTGATATCAAACCTGTGACGGGGACCAGAATGGGGCTGGCCTGGGCTGGGCTGGCTGTGGGCTGGGGGCGGGCTGGTGCTGGGCAGGAGTTGGGCTGGGCTGGGCTGTGGCGGGCGGGGGCTGGGCTGGGTTGGGGGGTACGCTCGGTTGGGTTCTGTTGTCTATATTAATGCACCACTCCCAGCTTCCAAATGGGGGGTAGTTCCGTTCTGTCTAATGCCGCCTATTACCGAGCAGTCCTAGCAGTAGCAGTATCAGGAGTAGTAGCAGGCGCCCCTCCCCACCAACCACCTCTCCTAACACTGTTTAAGAGCACATCCATGTTACTCGGTATTTACAGTACTCTCGTGATGTCGTAGTCCAGTAGTGGAAAAAGAAGAAGAAGAAGTAGTAGTAGTAGTAGCAGCAGCAGCAGCAACAGTAGTGGTAGCAGCAGCAGCAGCAGCAGGAGGAGGAGGAGGAGGAGGAGTAGTAGTAGTAGTAGTGTACTAGTAGTACGAACGATTACAAGTCGTTTTCTCACAAAAACTGGTGTTTTCACCGAGGTCAAAAACACAAACTGCACAGTCTGCCCCCCCCCGAGACACAAACAACATAGCAACACCGAAGCCTCACAAACCCATGGATCGACCGAAATCCGAAAAAGCCGTTTCATCCGGAAAACCGTAAAGAAACGCCATCGGACACTGGTGCCATCAATTGCAATTTCGCATCGGCAAAACCACCCAAAAAACTAGTTCCAAAGATGAAACGATGAAGAAAAGATGGCCCGAAAACTTGAGCGGTTGTACGAGGCTGTCTCCCGAAACAAATACTGCTAAAGCAGAATATGTCATTTAGCCTCGGTAAAACAGCCATCCCTGCTATCGCACGGGTCGTTTCATAGGGCATCACCCTGTTTAGTGTTTTTCGCTCTTCCTTCGTTGTCTTTCCTTTATGCCTGCAATTGGCAGCTCTTCCCACCTTCTGTCTGTATGCGTTTGCTTTGTCTCCTTGCAGATGAAGACGTAGGAGAGAACAGGCCGTAATTCGCACGCAGGTCTACCTCACCAAGCTGGACGGAGATCCAGACTGCGCAGTGTCTCACCAACAGGATCTCACGTTCTCCTGGCTGAACACAAACACCCAGACACCCCACAAGCCACGGTGCTTCATCACGAGGAGAACGAGCGACCGACTCTCAGCAAGTCTCAGTGGCGCGCAAGCTCAGACACGCCTAAGTCTGCATTCTCTCCGTATTCTCAATGTGGGTACTGTTACTTTGCATGCTGGTCGGACATTTTGATCTCCGTATCAGGCGCTCGGCGAAGGCTGGGGATGACGAGATCTCGATCCCACCGGCAGCCTTCACAGAGATGATCAGATCTTCCAAACATGCGACAGTCAGTGGCAGTGGGCTTCGTTGAGGCTGATCCAGAACGAAGACGGCACAAGACTGGATGGCTAGCAGCTCGCAGACTTGCAAGCTGAACGACTGCTCTGGCTTTCCAATGTTTTCTACTCAGGTTTCACGTGGGAGTGCACAGCCTGTCCGAGGACGCAGAGCGCCCATGAGCGACCACTCCGGCCGTGCCCTTGTGCTGTGACATGCCATGTGTTGCCTCCGCAGGATTCGACATTCTCCATCATTGCTTTTGCCTTGGCCTTGGCTTACATGGGTTATCCTTGTGAAATCCATGGATTCAGTACGTTCTGGGAACCCACGGCATTCCCCAGCACTTTGCACCAACAACAATCCTTAAACAGGAGCTGAACATGCGCTCTGGCACGACTTCTCGTGAAGTTTTGGACATCTGAGACCATGTACAACGAACCCAAAAGAAATCAGCACGGACTTGTGCCACCAGTCCCGGAAAGACTTGGGACAGCGCCCCTGACGGGACATCCGAGGCCGAAGCCGAAACTTTCAGGAGTCCCCGACACTACAGCTTGTGGGCGGCCCGCAGCTGCGGATTTGGGGCCGCAGTTCGCAGAGCGAGGCATGCTCTGCGGTGGCGCCGGGGAATACCAACTAACTCAATCGACGACCCCTGCACGCGCCAATGTGCGCAGTGTGCATGTGTGCCTGGGGAACTGTAGGGCTTGCCCACCATGCCTCATCAGTCCGGACAATTGGGGCTAGCGATCTGAATGTTCCATCGTGTTCCACCCCGCTTTTTCAGGATTTGGGAAGCCCGCTTCATCTGCATCATATGCCTGCTTCCCACGGCTAGGGGAAGAGCGAGCTCCATATTTTTGGCGCCGGGCCCTCTTGCCCACCCGGCATGGAGATTTCGGGTATGAGCCCTCCCCAAGGCATTCGCTCTGTGACACAAGCTGCTTACTGCCGCAGCAACGAAAACTATCGAAAACTCCAGCGGGCAGATCCATTTTGGTTGACAGCGGAGGAAGCGGAGAGCGGCTGTCGGTGGCAGAAGGGGGCGAGCCGCGACGGCTGGTGTCGGAAATGAGAATCAGTGGTTTGCTGGACAGACCACGTTTACTGCAGCTATGGTGTGAGCGTGTTTAGATGGGGACCGTGGTGGGGTAGCAATGAGCAGTGTGATGCTGTGGTCGTGGTGACAGCAGATTCAGGAAAAGCGGGCTTTTTTGCCGGGGTCAGAGCATGACTCCGAGACTTCAGAAAGCTTTCCGTGACTCTGCCTGCTCCTGCGACGTGAAGTTCTGAGGAGACGATTGACAGGTGCCGTGCTTGCTCGCAGTGAGAAATTATGGCAACCGAGGCAGAGAACCACGTTGAGCAAGCAGCTGACACCGAGCAGGGCAAGGACAATGCCGTCCTGCGATAATTTCTGGACTTCCTGGATGGGTCGGATGTTCTCATAGGATGGTTACATGATCCAGTGGACAGAGCTCTGGATGGGACTTCCCCAGGCCGGTTACCGCATTGCACGACGCTTTTCCGCAAAGTGCACGTAGCACGCCAGGCCATGGCTGCGCAGCCAGGTCTGCGGGACACGCCTTACGCAATGCCGGACGTAATCTCTTCTGCAGAAGTAGCTTCAGTATGTTCCAGCATGTGCAGAGTGAGAGCACCACAGTCCGTATTGCCACGGATCGTACAAAGTCAATGCAGAGTCGGTTTGGCTCGGTGACGGATTTGCAAGCCAGGTAGACCTGCCAATTTCTTGTACTACAGCCAACTGGCTGGGGCCTCTACAACAGTGCTCTCTGCCTTGAGAATCGCTTGGCTCTGCTTCCCGAGTCGGCAGGCAGCTCCCAAGCTCTTTGTGAACATCGAGGTGCCTGATGGGTACCTGTCCGTGCAGTCCAAAGTGTAGCTCTTCTTGCCAGTATGCCGGTATCTGCATGAATCCATAAGATGACGTCAACCTTCGGATAGTGCTCTTGGAGTCATGAGGGGTCCTGGTCATGCGCTGCCGTGTGCCGAAGGGCCGAGCTTCTACATCCAAGACTGCAGAGCAGTACCTTTATGAGTGACTTCACAGCATGTTGCCTGCCAAGACCCATGTCTGCGAGAGCTAGGAAGGCATGTTGGTTTCTCGGATGTGCGGCTGGCCATCAGCTGCAGTATCAAAGCAATCACTACTCGTGCTGCCACTGTTGTGTTGCTTTCGTGTGCAACAGGCGATCGCGGGCAACAAGCCCGATGTGTGCGTGCGAACCCCACCTCTGGCAGCAAGTGTTCGTGAAGGGGGCATGAGCCGCTGGTCTTCCAAGTGAGGTGCAAAACTGCGGTGAAGATCCGCACAGGCTCCTTCTGTCAAAATTAAAAAGCACATGCTCTGGATTGCTGCCTGCACAGCAGGTGTCCCTGGATCTCGATCTTTGCATCGGAAACCACGCTCCTTGATTGTGACGGCAGGCTTCAGCGATGTTTGCGATTGAAAATACAAGTGGAGCCGAGGCGAGCGAGTGCCCCGGACACCGCAGTGCAACCCCAAGATTCCTGCCGGATCGGCGTTGCTTACTTGCATGTTCATCGGCGAGGCCGAGCTCTCTGCCCGAGGTATCTTTCTGCGGAGAAGGATCGCTGCGCGGGTATGCTGGGGATGAGCAGGCGGCAATAGCCTCCAGCAGGCGAAGACTTTCCACCGATCAGATCCGATCAGGTGACGATCCTGAAGCCTTGCACAAAATGCTGGTACACGGTGCTCACATCTCGGCTACCGGGATGCTGAATAGGAAGCCTTCGCCTTTGCAGTCTTTGACAGGTGCTCGTGACCAGCGCGCTGAAGCGCAGCAGGTTCGTGCTTCCTAGCGCATGCCGCTTTGAAGTCTTTCAGCCGCAGGTTCAAGATACAACTGGGAGCTGAAGGAAGAGCGCACCCGCTTGCAACTACCCAAGCATCTTTGTGAGTGCATTTGAGACTTGGAGTTCTGTCAGAGTCGGTCCAGCTGTTCTGACCGTTACATACCGTTATCGCTGCCTCACTGGGGCGGCTTGTGACGGCGAGTTCGCCACATTGCACACAACTGGTACAGCGCCGTTGGCACGAGGTGGAAGGCGAGTCCTTCAAAGGTCATGCAGACAGCGGTGATGAGTGTCCCGTGCTGGCGTGAGCCTCAAGTATGTGAGCGGAAATAAAGCAGAGTGTCATGAGCCCAGGTTTGTCAGTTTGTCTTCTCTGGCAAGATTGTAAGGCCTACGATTTGGTTGAGTCCGAAATCGAGAGCCGCACAGCACCGGATGCCAGCCTGCAGATCTCCATGACACCTGCATGATCCCCGGCCTGCCATCATCCGTGAAGCTCTTCGGCCTGGCGTCCAGAAGCCTTGGAGCCGAGATCTACGGCGAGCCAGTGTTCGACGTGAGAAAGGACTCGGAGGCTCGGAGGACGCTCGAGTTGTCTCTTTGACGATGTGGTTTAATCGCATTCCATTTGGAGGACGGGAAGGTGCTCTTCAACTCGTCTGGAGCCGGTGTCGCCCCGGGGCTTCGACCAGCTGAGCTTCCAGCCGCCCCTTTTGGGAGGCCACGACTCCTGGGAGCTGAAGCTGAGTGCCGACGTTGCCAAGACTGCGGCTGGAATCTACTACGTCCAGGTGTGGCCTCCTAGCCGTCCTAGCCTTGGCCAACTCTCGGCTTCTGGCCTTCGGAGGTGTGTGCAGCAGGACCACAACACGCGCCCCCACCTGCACGCTTCCGTTGAGAAGATGAGCATGCATGTCATGTGACCGTTCGGACTGCCCGACGTTTTGCCGTGCGAGCCAAATCCATGAGTGCCGGACGTGAGCCAGGCAATTTCGCATCACCGTGGCATGGGACAAGCCTCTGCTGAGGCCACAGACGGTGAGAAGTGTAGACGGCATAGACGGCATAGAGCCTGTCGGCGGTCCATGTCTGCTAGCCCAGAGGCCCGGCAGTGCGAAGCCCGTGCCTAAGCTCGTACCTAAGCTCGTGCCGAAGGCACGATGCCCTGCCGCCCTGCCTGTGGTTTTCTGAACCTCAGAGTGAGGAAGCTTGGTGTTGCCATGCTGAACGACGGAGAGGCCTGGGGCATGGACATGCTTGGGCTATTTGGGCTTGGGCGGCCTAGCAAGCTCAAGCAAAGCGAGCTAAGGTTCAGATGGGAAGCATATCTGCCAAGAAGCTGGGTGCTTGTTATGAGGGTGAAGTACCGCGCTTCAGACCCTGCAAGTTTGGTTTCACAAGAAGTTTTCAGGCATGATGTCTACCTCTTTGTTCCGGTTCGATTCTCAGCAGCATCCGCAGCTGAGATGTCCCCTCCCAGAGAGCGAGATGCTGCTAGGCTTCGGTGGAGCAGTCTCCAACCATCAGGGTCTCCGTCACGTCTATTGGCACTGCGCTGAAAAGCCATGAGACGGAAGGCAGCGCTTGTAGCGCCGTGCCTCCTCTGTGCCACTGCAGGTGGAGGGTGCAAGCTGTATGTGCTGGCTCCGCAGACAGGCAGAGACACTGTACCAGCCAGGGTTGGAAAAAGTAAGCCTCGGCAGAGCACTCCCTGCAGCCGTTGTGATGAGGATCTGAGAGCAAAGCGAAAGAAGCCATGCGCGCATTCCTCCAAAATCCTGCTGTGCCTTGTCGGAGATTGATGCCCGATACTTGTGACGTCCCATAACGCTCAACTTGGCTCTGCTGTTATCTAAGTGCAAAGTACAATGAACAGGAAGTGGCAGATTGGACGACGGTCACGATCTGAGAGACTCATCCGGTTGTCTCCGGATATGTTAACCGAGAGAAGATTGTAGCTCCAACATATTGTGGATCAGACGTCACAGAGGCTGAACAAGATTCCTCCGAGATCGTCATTTCACCTTCTGATGCAAAGTGCACAGCTGTACTCTGCTGCGTGCCGTGCAGAAGGATGTATGCAGCAGGAATGCCCTACAGTCAAGCAGCTTGAATGCCGCAGGTATGTTGCGCCGACTTCGTCGAACTTGTATGTGTTCCTGGTGTCTGCAGAGACAGACACAGCCCTCCGCCAAGTCCAGGCGGGCGTCCGTCCTCGTTTGAGTCGTTGCCATGCTGTGAGGACTTTGAGATCGCTGCTTCCACCGGAGGTGTGGAGGCTGGAGCTTCCTCCAGGTGCGAGAACCACCGGAGCCTGTCGGGCCTGTCGGGTCAGGAGTTGCTGACTACGGGCCTGCCACTGCGAGGGGAGGTTGCGCGAGGGGAGCGGGGACCTCGGAGGCCCTCGCGGAGTGACGCTTGAGAGCAGCTTGCAGCCCTTGCCTGAGCTCCCTAGGTATCGCAGGTACCGGGTTGCCATTGCCGAGGCAAGAGCCGCACGAGGGGAGATGTGGTTTCGGTTGACGGCATCTCCAAGTCCAGGCTGGCAGACATCTGTCCATCCAACTCACCGCCGAGAACGGGGACTGTGACCTTTATGCTGCTCAATACCATGCTTAGGAGCTCAACAACACGGGTCCGTGAATCTCCCAGCTGAGGTTCACATCGTCCCAGACGTTTCATCGGAAAGCTTCGTTTTAAGGCCAAGCAGCGCCTGCTGTATTGTGCAGTTTTGTGACTTATAATGAGGCGAGTCAATCTGAACGGTGATCGTGTTGAAGAATCGTGGTTTTGATCGTGAAACGCCTTCATCCAAAACCTTTCGCGACTCCTTTGAACTGTCCGGGCATTGCTCGTCGAGAAACCGGCCTTTGCAGAAGTGTCAGAGCATGTTGGACGGCAGTTCCCAAAGACACCACGGCGACCACTTGTGGCCTGAAAGCCCTCACCGAAAGGTGTTCTTTTCTTCACGAGATGCGTGGCCCGGGAAGGTTTCCCGGGCAGGGCGAGGACGTACACAAGCGCCTAGACTGAGAAAAGAGGGCGACATAGCAAAACGAGGCATACAACGGACTAGACACGTCCACAGCCGTTCTAGGTGTGTCGGATGGAGAGGACCCGGGCTGGCGAAGCATTGAACAGTAAATCCCAGCAAGTCACTTTCCACTTTTAGCCCAGTCGTGGCGTCACCAGGTCGGCCTTGGCTGTCATGTGCGCAGGTCAGAGAATGTTGGTTCTGACTCCATCTTTGTCGATGCCTTTAGCCAGCTCAACCAGATGCATTGTGGCGAAAAGGTGAGGGCAGTGCCAGTGCTGCCATGTGGTGATACCTTCCCACCTTGTGCAGATGATTCAAACCTACGGTGAGTGCGTGTACTTCGTCGCCATCAAAGGGATCTCTTCACGATCGGCCTTGGCCCCAAGCTCCAACCCACCGGATGGGATCTATTCATGTCGTTAGGAGCCGTGCTGCCTCTCTTCTTCCGAGGCTTACCAGCTTCAAGCCATCGTTCCTGCAGCTCTACCGCTGCCGTTGACGATGCATGACTCTCGGTCTCAGTGACCTTGTGCTGCCGTTGCCGCCTGGCCTCAAATTGTGGAAGGTCCACCAGCAGGGCAGTGACGCTGCCACCAGGCAGGGACGGCTCATTCAGTGGGCCTTAGTGAGCGTATCGAGTTCAACTCCGACATTGCGGTGCAAAGTCCGAGAGCCCAAGAGCGCCTCACTTCACGGGGATGAACTGGCACTTCGCTGATTGCACTGCGCTGAAAGGTGGCATCCAGTATTTCTACACGCTCGCGGAGTGCACAAGGTCGACTCTGATTGAGGCTAGCGGCTAGCTGTTTAGGCCGTTGAGGTCTTCAGAGGATGAAGCAACGGCTTGACTTGACTTCCGCATCTCAACTCATGAGCAACACCGCAGCCGTGGAATGGCTGTGCAATTAGGCAAGCAGCTGTTGACAGAAGCAGCCTCGTCTTGGAAGTAGTAGTTAGTAGTTTAGCACAACTTAACACTGGTCAAGTAGGATGCATGCGACCGATGGTTTGGAGCAGCGACGTGCAGACACAGTGGAAGGGAAGCAGAGAAGGCACAGCGGGACCGTGAACTGGTCTCAGCGGGTTCTCTCGGCTGTTGTGTTCGTGCTGCTGGTTCTCGTCCTGGCAGCAGTCTTACAGACGTATCGACGATTCTCGCATCAGACTCATGGCGAAGTGATGACAGAGTCGCAGGCGCAGGCTGAGGACGAGAACGGAGGTCAGGCTCGGGACCCTATGGAGGCCTCTCAGCAACAGGCTCCTAATCAGCCTGGACTGGGTAGTCTTACTTTTCGAGCACCAATGGAACAGGAAGAACCAGGGAAGAAACACAGGTCTCCAGTGCCCGAGCACGTATCAGGCGAGCTCGCTGAGAGTGCTGTCAAAACAGCAGAGCATGTAGCATCGACAATCAAGTTTGGATACGGTTCAGTTGTGAAAGCCCACAGCAAGTTGAAGAAACTTGTCGCGAACGAGCCTGAGCACAAGAAAGACTGCAAGTCACCGCGTCTTGAAGTTCTTGGAAAGTGCGCCTGTCCAGCAGGTTTACGATGGGATTCTGCCGAGAACTCCTGCCGCACAAATAGAGGTGCCATGTATTTCTACATGTACAGAGGGCAGAGCGATCACAACTATCCCATGAACAACGTCGACATGGCCGACTTGGCCGGCGTGATGTACTACCTACACCACGAGATTGTAAAGACAAATGCTACGCCCGGTGTAAGAATGAATGGCATCACGCGAATCCTCCGTTGGCTGGTTACTGTTCGGCCATCACAGGAAGTGGAAGAGGGTCGGACGTTCATGCCCTTTGTGGCCTTTGATTCTGGCAGGTGTAGTGTCCCAGGTTGCAACCGCCTGTGGGATCACTATGGCTTTGCCGTTGGCTGCCAACGACTGTCGCAGGGCACAGATTTGAAATATGCGTATCAGTCTCCCAACAATCCCTTTGGTGTGTGGTATTCCTTGCCCGGTCCTTGCCCGGCATTACGGGTCGGGGAGAAGGCGGGGTGTTCTTGTCTTGTGATTCTTCAAGCCCGTTGCTGGCACGTGCGTCATAGTGGTTTGCATTGTGGCTTACGGCAAATAGTCGGTTTGGGCGATGTATCATGGGTTTTGTGGAAGCTGAAAATGGGTGCAGGCGACCAGCAAATGCGGACAGGGATAATTGCACAAAGTTTCGCTAATCTCTTGGCCGCTTCATAGCTTGGATGTGTACCTCATCCAGCTGACAAGCTGGCTTCGGAGTGTCGCCTCATAGTCCTGTGTGCAGTATTTTGTTTTGCTCATTTCAGCCGCCCTGTAAGGCGACATGTGCCGTTTCGTTTTTACATTGTCTTTCGATTCTTGCCGAAGTATTTTGACAGGATGGGCGCTGCATGGCAACGTACCGGGGAGGAATGTGTGAGGACCTCGAGGAATCCCAGCACTGTACGTACACTGTCGATTTCGCCGGTGAGATATTCCTTGACGAGCTAGAGGGCGTCAAGGACTTCGGAAAGTGGCAGTCTGAGGGCAACAGAGAGTATGATCCTACGACGGACAGAGGAACGGGCACGTCGTTCTGGAACTTTCGTGATAGCAAGGCATGGTGCGATCGAAGGACAGCTCGAGTTCAATCACTGTTCAAAAGACGCTATCCCTTGCTTCCAAGGGATCTTCCAGCACCAGTGTGCTGATGCCGTCAATTGCGAGCCGTTAATTGCGATACCGATACTCTTCTTCTGCTGAGGCCAAGGTTGGGTAAATGAGTCCACACAGTTGCAGCTATGTCCTGGACAGGCGACAGGCTCACATGTTCTAGAGATGAATGCCAGCACGCTGGCGAACCTGCCGAAGTGCTGAGGGTAGCCGGTGTGTTGCTAGGTCAGTGTATGGTTGAACCCGATGGCACTTTTAAGAAGCTGCCAGCCCGAGTTTGATCTGCAGTAGCATGCCAGTGTTGCTGGCCAAGAATCCGCAGTCACTGCGAGATGGAAAATAAGGCCTCATCCTCCGAAATGAAGCAGCATTCCCCACGTTCGTCAGCGTTTAGCAGACTTGGAGATGAATGGCCTTCCAGGTAGAAGTGCAGAGTGGAGCCTTGAACCAAGTGGCAATGAAGGCCTGCAAGCTTGGCGATGCTAGGCGGCTGCGTTGGATTTGAATGGTTTGCGGGTACCTGCAGGTGATGCCTTTGGCAGAAGCCAAACATCCAAACGCCTCCAAACTTGGTGAGGCCGGTTTTTGGGATAATGATAAAGACACGATTTGGCTTCGAGCCTCGCTTCAGGTTGACATGACCGGCACCTTCTTTGCAGGGGTCGGGATCTCGCTGTCTTTCCGGGATTCAACTGTCCGCATCTGTTACGACACCGCAGCCTTGTGTGTTTTCTTTGTCTCCTCTTTCTCATGGCTGTACGGCGTGCGTGGCTTTGTGAGGTGTGGAGCCTGATGCTCGAACCGACAAGGTCAGGCAGCCAGATTTCTGAGTGTCAGACCAGGCATGCTGCTGGCCTTTGTCTCGCACAATCTGACTTCCTGTCTGCAGATTTTCGGCTGTGTGTACATACTTAACTCTGAACTGTGCCTCACTTCTGACATTCCAAAGCCATGGCGTCATGGAAGGAATGGCGGAGGTCAGGGGCAGCCCTAGTTAAAGACTTGTCGAGGGGGGAGGCTCCACAACAATCTCCCGCGCTGCATCTGTTTCACTGCATCTCCTTACGGGTGCCGGGTACGGAGGCACATGCTGGGCCCAAGCTAGAATGGCGCACCGCCCGCCTGCAGCACGCTTGCCCTTCACTCCACTCGGCCTGGCTGCCGGACCACAGACTTCATGAAGCTATGGAAGCCTCACGAAACAGCAACCCTCTAAAATGTAGAACCTTCCAAACCACTATGCAAAACGTTTCACATTCTCGTTGCTTTGTCAGTAGATGATGTGTTTGGGGGGCACTCCCAAACACCATCTGGAGATATCCCTGCGGAGGTCTGCAGTTGTCTGTGCTTTTGACGGTTTTTTCGTGGCGTTGAGTGCAGCAATTTTGGAATCCCTAGCGACGAAGGATACATGGAAGGATCCCTTTTTCCAGACCCCGACTAAGGTACCTCGGGGATTTTGGAGAGCATCTTTGGGGCCCAGAGTTGCTTTCATTATGTGATTGCCTGCGCTCCGGAAGGAATGGCTAGTTCTTAGGAAGTATCCGCTGCAATTTGGAGTGTGGGCAGTGGGCTTTGATTGTAGTTTTTTCTTTTTTTCTCGGGGGTTGGGCGTTGGGGTCGGAGCTGTGTAGCGGGTGTTAGTGTCAAAGGGATTGGTCTTCCGGCGCAGGCGGTGAGGCAGGATGAACGGTCAGTGTAGCTTGGAGGTTGAGCTTGTTGCTAAGTGCACATGTTTAGATCTGAGATGTTCATGCTATGTTGTGGGGTCTAGACTCTAGACTAGATCCAAGCGATGCCACGGTCGCTGCATGGAACCTTTGGGTCAGACCTGTGGATTCGGCGATTGCGCCTACAGAGATCGTGAACCAATTGCTAGCCCGGGAACAGATACTCCACTTCCCTCTTCGGCGTGTTGGCAAAACTGTAGAATCTGCTACCGTTTATCCCGAGGCGTTGGGGGTTCCTGTGTTGTCCATTCAGGGTGAGATTCGACCATTCAGCTGCGGTTCCTTGTCTGCAAGAGCATTCACATGTAACCCTGATGTTGACAGGTGGGGCAGCTTCGTTTACGTCGACTATCCGGACTGCGCAGTCATGGATGTCCAGTTGCACGGACGTAATGTCACCGATGCAGGCCGGATTTGCACTGAAGGATGTGCAGAACTTAAGAAGTTGAAGCTGGTTTAGCCTAAGCAGTCTCATGCTGCAGGTGGTAGGCCGGGGCATTCTCCCCGTAATATTGAAACTTGGTCCGAAAGCAATGGATTTGTCTGCATGAAGTGACCACGTGCTGTTTTGCGCATATTGCGGCATGGGCACCCCGTGCCCACAACCTAAAGCGCAAAGTTCGGACAGCCGAGATGCTCACCCGAAGTGGAGTCTGAGAGTAGTTCCAATGATGTTTTGCAACATCATCAGCCAGTCTGCTATTGAGCATGCGAGCAACGGTGAACAAGTGCTTCTGGCACTTTAAATGCACGGCATGAATGCAGTCGTCCGGCCTTATTGCCACACTCCTCTGAAGCGACGACTGCAGCATGTGTGTGGGCATGTGTGTTGATGATGGTATGCGCTTGTCAGCCACATGATGCTGATGTTGTGCGCGTCTCGATAAACTCCTGCCTGCCAGATTTGCCATCGCTTCTCCGTCACATGACAGAGCGACTGTCTGCTGGCGAAGGATGGATGGACAGCTCCTGAGGATTCTTCGGTCGGTGATGCGCTGCTAGCTGGTGAACTCGAGATGTCACCGAGGGCTATCAGCTTGACCTCTCGCACAACGCTGGTATCACCGATTTCGGCATATCGATCCACTTGGCACCCTTTCTCAGGAGCTGAAGAAAGGCTTCCGCCTCATGGCCGATTGCTGGATTGCATGGATTTCAGGAAGTGGCCGCACTGCCGGGTTCTCAAGCTGTCCGAGACCTCTGCTGGTGACTCATCGCTGAAGGCCGAAAGCTTGTGGGTTCATTTCGCTTCATTGAAGACTTTCTTCCCTCTTCCCTCCTTCGCGCGGCTTCAGGCTCTGGTGGAGTGGGTGTGTCAGGGCCAGGTCATGGAGTTGAATTTGCTGCTCCTCCGCAAAGAGTGAGCCGAGCCTGCCGTCTTTGGCTTTTTCGCTTGGTGTGTGCGCAGAGAGAAGACAGGTCGGAGTTGGGCGGAACTCTCTCAAACGACATGGCCACGGCCCTAGTGATCCCTGCGGACTGCGAGCTGCAGAGAAGTGCAACTCGTTTAGGTGTGGGCTTTCTTGCAGAAGCTCAAGGACAGGCGCAGGCCGATCACTCTTCGACATTCTGAGTTGTGCTTCAGTTCACCGACTTGTTTCCAAACTGTGGCTTTCACTCCTGCTTGCATCAAAGGGATCCCGTTCTGCAGGCTTCCATACTGGCATCCTTGCGGGAACTCGTCTTTGTGGCTGCGTCTGGATCACAATGACATCGAGAACATCGACCTGCTGGCCGACAAAGGACCTCGCATGCTGCATCGCGATAGTGCACACCTGGGCATAGCAGCAAGTATCCCCTTGCACTTTCTTCCTTCCCTTCATTTCCCTCCCTTTCCAATCTCTTCGGCTTGGGCTTCGGCCCGTTTCGCGCAGGACAGACACTGGCATATCTTCAAGTATGGGCTGGGGCCCGAGTAGCACAGGAGGACACGAAGGCCAAGATGGGCGAAGTGAGCCGTAATGCGCCATACTAAGGAGAAGGCCCCCAAAGGGTGGACGGTGCGTTCGCAGCAAAAGCCCCTTCTTGCACGTCGTGGCCTGAGCTTGAAGTGATGCTGAATGACTCTCCTGATTTGGCTTACCATGCAGGTCCATCTGTGGAAGTGGCTCTCTTCCCAGCTTCGCACGCAAAGGCCGATTGCTTGACCTCGTCGATCTGAACGCGTAGTAGTCAGACTTGTCGCGTCGCTCCAGGAGCGACATGTTGAGATCAAAGCCGACATGCGGAAGCAGCTGCTGTCGATGCTTCACGTTTCTGGGGAAGCTCGGGCAGAAGGCTGGGCTTTACCAATCTGTGCAGCCGCAGGCCGCAGCGCTTCTTGCAGGAACCACTCGGGCGCCACTGGTGTTCACGGAAGATGAATACCGGCTGTGGCAGATGGAGTCCCGTGAAGATGCGGAGAACGGTGCAGATGACAGGCGAGGGAGAGAGAGTGGGAGAGGTTCTCGTGAGCGCCCGGCTCGGAGATAACCTCACTCGCAAGAAACCGCACAGGAACGAGGAGACTTTTGGAGGAGAAGCAATCGCCGCCGGATGGTCTTTCGAGGATCTCGTCAGAGATCAAGGCGCAGCACAGCACGAAAGACATGAAGTGCCAATAGGAGAACCTGGCAGCAAACCAGCGACTTGCGAAGAGGGACCAAGCCTCAGCCATGGAGTTTCCTGAAGTCTGTTGGAACCAGTGCTTTGCCAATGTTGATATCGTGAATCCTACAAGTTCATCCCGAATTAGAGGTGTACGAATTGCCATTCGCCGTGCTAGCTCGCGAGTTGCAAGTGACCTCTCCAAGGGCAGCGGCTGGTCTCAGGAAGCGCCGAAGGCTCGGCTCAGCCGCCTTGTTGCCTCGAGATGTCCACTCTACGTGTGCAGGTGCAGGTGCCTGTGCCAGAACCGATTCCGGAACCGCCTGCCGCGAACCAGTCTTCTCTGACAGATGCAAAGCAACAGGTGGAAGCCGAGGCAGGGCAACGTTTCCTTGCGACGTGTTCCATAAGACTCCTTCATTTTTTTCGCGTGATCTAGCTCAGCACTTTGCGGTCGCAAGAACATAGAGGAGACGAAAAAGGCCGTTGGCCATTCCCACAGGCTGGCGTACAGGCCTTTTTGTCTGTGTGTTTCTGGCGGCTCTGGCGTGCTTCCTCGACGTGTTCGAGGCTGAGCACACGATGCATGGCGTGTAGCCACCGGGCACCGGTGGAGACCAGCCAGACTCCTCTTGACCTTCTGTTGCAAAGGGTCACGTGCGCGTCCCTACGGGGAACTGCAAAGAAGTATCTTCAGGATGCCTCCTGAAGGGCCTCACAGCAGCGAGGGCGACATGCTCCACAACCGTGACACTGTCCCCTATCAGAACAGCCAACCACGCTTCCCAACGGAAGTAGAACGACAGGGATAGGCACAGTGTCAGAGTGCAGCACCAGACGGACAGAACTGTCTGATTCGAAGAACGGCTGTCACTTCCGAGATCGTCGAGCGAAAGATTGACAGGTCGTTACGTCTTTGCAATGCCTGTACTCGTGTTTGCACACTGGCAGAGAGTTTGTGTCAGGTGCGACAGCTCGTGCGGGATGTTGACGTGCTGCGCGCCGAAGACTTCAACGGTAAGGCGGTGAAGTAAAACGTTGGCTTGAGTCCACTTCACAGAAAAGTCCGTGATGTCTAGAGGTGAAGCAATGGTTCCATGCGCTCCGCAGCAAGGGCGGCATCGAGAAAGTGACCGAGGCCGGCTCCGACACTTGAGCACTGAGGCTCTGACTCCAGCAGAGACGTCCTTGCTTTGAAGCGATGCGAATGTGGCAGGCGACTGCAACGCTGCGTCTGATCTTGAAGCACAAGCGTCGTGGAGAAGTCGAGAAGCCTGGGACTTGAAAATCAGAAAGCCAAAGCACACTCGAAACACAAAGTCGAAAGCACTTCTGAGGGTCCTGCTCTGCGCTGCTCGAAGCCAGAACGAGGTGGTCCTCTTACTTGCGCTCCCTTCTCGAGAAGATCCACTTCGGAGACCTCCTGCACTGCCCGACACCAGGCCCGGCCCTCGGGTGCCCCAGCTGTGCAAAAACTGCGTAGAAACCAGAGTCCTGTGCAGAAGGAGAGTCGCAGCTGTCATCTCAAGCCCAAGCCGCCCAAGCCGCTGCCTCGGAATCCAGTGTCCCTTTCCGCCTTTCAGGGACTTGGTCTGCTTCCAGCGGCGCTCGCTCTAGTGCTTGAGCCAAGGTCTTTCAGTGAGAGCCTCCTGCGCTGATCTCGCAGAGTCAGGCAGCTGGCAAACATCGTGCCAATTCGGAGCTGCCAGGAAGCTCCTCTCCTGTAGAACCCAATTATCTCGAACAGAGTCGCTTCCTGGGGGCTCCAGGATGTAGTCTAGCTCTCAAGCGCACATATCCAAAATCCCATCGGACAGAATGAACACCGCCTGATTTCGGATACGTGCTGCAGTGTCCATAAACGGCCATGGGGTACTTTTGTGTCCTTGATGCTATTTCGGTTCACAATTTCAAGAGCATGTTGTACACGTTTTTCCTAGCACCCTGGCAACATCTGAGTTCTTTGCATGACCCTGGAATGCTGAGCGCTGGTCAAACATTGCCGGCGTTTACAGCTCGAGCAACGACGCAGCAGACGCTGTAGATGAACTCGTGAGGTTTTGTGAGATGACTAAACCTTTGTGATCCATACATAGGACGATTGAAGACCGCCGAAATCACAAGCTACATGCGATCCTTTTGTTGCTTATTCAAGACTTCGTCGCTGCAGTTGCTCTGAAGTCACTTGCTCGTCGATAGATTAACCACGCAGAACCACCGCCATTATGTGCCTTTGAAGGAAAAGCATCGAAGCCTTCTGCTTTGGGGGGCACGTGTTGAGCACAGGAAAACCGTTGGCTTGCGGCTTGAGATTCTCCAAGTCAGGTTGTCTGAGAAGTGTACCTCGGACTGCACTATTCTGGTCGTTCTGAAGGGCGAGGAGGCAGGACTTGCTCGGATGTGTTTGCCTCTATGTTGACTGGCATCCGGATTCGGAATGTTGCAAACTGAAACAGGTTGATTGCTCGGAACAAGAGGCAGGTCTAAACTGAAAGACTGCTGCAAACCATTCGTCGACAACCCGCATTAACGTACTACAGCTTCAGGCTTTTTACGACTATAGCGGCTATAAGATGGCTTTCAGCATGGTGTTTTGCTGAGGATGCGTAAGAACCGTGTATGTGTGTGTGTGTTGTTTGCTACGGTACTTCTGATTTGCTGCTGCTACAAGCAACCGGGACCAGGTTGTAGCTCATCCGTCGCAAATCAACCAAGAAGCGACGTTCCGTCGGACATACGGCTTGTCGGAACAAAAATCGCGACGCTTGTGCATGCGCCCATGGGGCAGCTTTCCTCGTGCCAGTAGAGTGGCGGTGAGCGGTGAACATTGAGCTGCAAGGCGCTCACAACATGTGCCATCTCCTATCAACCCAGGCGGCACTGCGAGTTGTCACGGTGTGTCCTCGCTGCGAGTGCTCTGACCCTTCTATCGGGAGGCAGAATTCAGAAGCGTCTTCCGTGAAAAGCTGTCGGCTTCTGGAGGCTACGTGTTTGTGCTGGCTTATCGCAGTTGGGCTTTCCATGGTCTGAGTTGCGACCGCGTTCCACGGCTTGTTCAGGCAGGAGTGCCATCACGTGGCGTCCTTGCAGCCAAAGCGGAAAAGGTCTGCTACAATTTAAGGACCACCTATTGGCAGCAGTCATCAATCAAAGACTTGGGATGGCACTTAGCTCCAGGATCCCGGATGACAGTGACATTGCCATCACCGTTAGCCCATTAACGGACTGCCGACCCACCGTGGAGGCACGTGGCCCAGAGGAGTAAACTCGCATGATGGTTTGGTTATCTTTTGATGTGTGGCTATGCATCGATAGAGTTCTTTTTCTCTGCAATGCCGGAGCCATGCTGCTGAGCTGCCGGAGGTTACTCAGATGTCTGGCGCAACGAAGGTGCTTCCCACAGATGCCCATTTGGGGTCACTGCCTCAGCTGAAGGATTTCTCCTGGCTGTTGAAGGGCCTCCGCTTTTTTGGAAGTGAGTTCCTGGTAGGTTCGTTTCAAGCATCCTCCGGCACGAACACGGCGAAGTGCAGAAGGGCTTGCTATCCATTGAGGCAGCGCTGAAGTTACGATCGTGGAGGGGCAACTACAAATTTGAATGAGCAGTCGTGACTGAAGATGTCTATCGCGCAAGACCCTACCGAGCAATGGTCAATCATGTCGCATGGCTCAGGAGAGTTGACTCGGCCGCGCAATTCCCCGTTCCGACGTACTGCCATACTTTTGGCGCTAGTCACAAATATGTTTTCTGCTGTCGTCTGTTCCTGAAGCGAGAGTTTCTGTTCTGGTGGCATGCTCCGATGCGAGTCAGTTGCCGAGTGCTCTGTCAATATCTGAAGCAGTTTGTGTTAGTCTTTCAATTCTTGGCTGTGAGCATTCTCAGACGAGAGGCTTTAGAGGAGAATAGAGCCCAGCAGATAGAGGAGTTCCCTGGACTTTCGCTTCGATGAAGATGGCGACCCCTAAGTCACAGCGCCGTCGTGCGCCTGCCTTCCCGGCCCTCCTAAAGTACATCACCAGGTGCACGAACCATGTCGGTTCGCATCTGAGCCTTCGGTTCTGTTTTCGGGGCTTGTATAAACCTCCGCGGAAGCTGTGACGTGGGATTGTTCCAGGACTCAAAGACAAAGGGTGGGAGAGCCGTCCAGCCCAAAGCCTCTATACGATTCGAGTTCTCAAGCCCATCAGGAGAAGGTTGTTTGAGAAGGCCTGCTGCCCAACGAAGAAATTTCAAGAGCCGAATAAGGGGTCTCTGTCACCCGGGTTCATGTCATGGACCAGACACCCAGAATGCTGTACACTCCGAGTGCTTGCTTCCTCGGAGCCCTCTGCCAAGACTGCATGCGAGGAAGGGACGTTCGGGCAACGCCACGTGCCGTGTTGCGCGCGCGTGCAGAGATAGCCAAGCATGACCTGAACCTGGTCTTTGGCTAACGAGCGAGATTATGTTAAGAAAAGTGTGTCCGTTATGTTCCAACATGCTTCAATAGTTTGGCCGGCCTTCAGCAGCTTGCATGTCAGTATGCCATGGGGTCGTCTCACCTGCTCGAAGTTTGACTCGTATTCACAGCAGGCAGACTAGTGGAGAAGCCAAGACCACTGTCTTTGGCGAAATTGGCGGAGTAGATGCTCGGAGGAGTGTTCCAGTCTTGTTGCACGACGAAATCCTTTTCCGAGAACCGTTCGTGTGTGTCGACGAGGCAAGCTGACAACATCGTGACACCCGAGAAACCTATTTCTACCGACACCCGGAACACTTGCAGACTCCCTCGAGTATTGCATACTCCAGCTACGTTCAGGCTGTCCAGTATCGGAACTTGGTATTTCTGTACCATGTACGAGTTTAGCTCCCTCGTTCTGCAAAACGGGCAGCTCCTTGCTTCCAGCACAAAACAGCAAACGCGTAACAAGCAGTGACATCAGTGTTCACCCATTCCCCAAACAGCTTACCTCACCACTTGAAGGACAACAACGCACCAGCATGCCAGGTTTCGGCTTCCCACATCGTTTGTGCAAGATCTTCTTCCATTGAAAGCAGTAGTGCCGAAGAGACCTTCTACAACACCGCACAAAAGCTGGCATGTGGCCTCAGCCCGGGAATCCTTCGTTTTGGGCTGTTCGCAGGATGTCGGTAGAAGGATGCCGCTACAAAGTCGAAATCCGGTCTGGGACCGTGAATGCTGTACTGCAGTCTGCGCAGGTGTCTTCGGGAGCAGCTTGTCAGGCTGGGTCGGCACTGAGCGAGAGAACATGAGCATACATGAACGTTGCTATCAGTCTTTGGTTGCTCTTGTTTGGCAGTTCGATGTCCGAGACGGGGCCTTAACATCGGCATCACGAAGTTTGCAGCATTGGCTGGTCTGCAACCCCCCTCAGGCACAGATGACCGTTGGGAAGGCAGGTCAGGTATCAGCAGGTCGGACGCCCACGATTGGTGTGCTCTGATGCCTCAGAGCAGCATTGCCAGGTCTCCTTTTCGAAACGAAGCAGGCTTTGCTCCACTCAAAGCTTATCTCTCCTGCAAGCACGAAAGAGCTCTGAGTGGAGGCGTTGAGGCTTGATGTGCCCGCTTTCTTCACCACTTCGCGGAGTGCAGGCAGGAAGCCAGCCCTTGGCTTCTTGCATCCTCTGCGCTGTGCAACAGGTGCTCATTCCTTCAGCTACACCTCCCAGATACAAACGCCCAAAGAGACGGCGTCACGAGAGTTTCTGCAGGCCGCGGTTTGCTCGCCATGCCGTGCTGTTGAAAGGGCAGTGACCAATGCACGACTTCGCGGGTGTTCTTTTCTCAAGCGTTACCGTTGCCTTGCATTGGAATCATTGCAAGCCTGTCTTGGGTAACACATAGCACAGAACCGCCGACGATGGGTAGCTTGCGAGATCGAGGTCGAAGTGATGGCACTCTCCGGGGAGATATCGGTTCGCTGCGCATGCCGTGCCAGCTGCCCAATGTAGCTCATGTCTCGTCGTGTGCAGAAGCGGTTTCCTGACCTGGTTCATCGCTAGGGTTGCGTGCGACACTGTACCAGGCTGTCCCCGCTGCAACTGCACACGGGTCTCAGAAGACGCTTGCCGGATCGATGCCTTTGGGTACAGTTCGGCAGTCGAGTTCAAGCGTAGCCGGTCAGCAGTCATCGGCACGAGGTGCTGTCTATAACTTTAGATAGAGGTGGAGTGACTGTCGGGGGCCAGTGCCGGTGTGCTCGTTTGCCGTACCAAGGACATTCGTATCAGATGCCTTGAAGGCCGGCTGACCTTTGCTTTGCTCTTTCTTGAGACGACTTGGGCAAATCCCGAGGCCCTGCATCAGGCGGAAGCTGACTTGAGCAAGGGCTCCTCCCAGATCTACACCTGCCGCGGGATGCGGGAGGCCGCGCTTTGCACCAGATGTTGCCGGCAGCAGTCCAACTGCTAGATGGTGAGCTTTCGTCCTGAGCATGCCAGCTCCGAGGCATGTGGTGAGGCGTTCACCTGCTTGATCCTTCTTGTCGTGGAAAGCAAGATGAGAGGAGCCGGGCCAAGATGCCGATTGATCCAAAGGGTCTCAGCGCTTCGTTGAGATTGTCTTGCGAAGCCTCCCAGGTTGGGAGGCCGACTATGTAGTGATGGCCGTGGACAGGACACCGAGCTGCAGCTTGAACGCAATCGCGACAGCGACTGTTTGTTCAGGAGGACTCGTGAGATGTTGCTGCCCGGAGTTGCCGTAGAGAGCTGTGTGGGCCGTGCACTTACACGTCTGCCGACATCGCTCATCACATTCATCACGAAAGCTTGAGGACAGCTATGTGCAGGTGGCAGACCAACTATCAGGCTGCTGTGGGCCATGGGTTCGGCGTGTTCGCAAAGTTACCCCGCGTTGTGGAATGAGAATGGAATGGCCTACTTCCTAATGTTGACACGGTCAGAAGTAGATTCTAAGTAGATGCAAGCCGTAAGAGGTTGACTACACGGGAGGACTTGTGTGGAAGCCGCTTTGAACAGGTATCAGCTGTACATCAACAACCCGAGCACCAAAGTGAGCCTTCGTTTCTCGTGTCAAGGCGCCCTCCATCCATGATAGCTGCATCAAGTACCCCTATCAATTTGCAGGACGACTGCGGCAAGAGCGATGCTCGCAGGCACGACTCGAAAGAGGACGTGACAGCTTTGTGGGATCTTACATTTCGCCCTGGCAGGTTCTACTGAGCGCAGACGCAAGGACTCCAATGCCAGCCAGTTTGGCGGACAGAGCGAGTCTTGGCTGCAGAAAGCCCTACTCGTGGAAGTGGCTCCACTGGGAATGCAGCGTTTTTTTATGCGTAACGGAAACAAGATTCTTCAGCAGCTTTTTTTTTGGCAAAACAAAAACATTAATGGGCAGCTTCGTTTCACCGAGGTACACACCTCACGAAGCTGCGGCAGAAGGGTACATCTCCATGGAGCTGAGAACATCAGTCGAGCAGGACGTTGTGCCAAATTAGTCCATGATGGAGCCTGAAACCGCATAGAGGCGACTCCTCCTCATAGACAGTTCCTGCGACATGTTTTTGAGTTTCTGTGGGCTAGTCGGCGAGTTCATTGTCCTCCATTCAGATTTCGCCATGCCAGCAATGGCTGAAGTTATACTCTTGTTTCTGCGAGGAGAGAGCTCATCCTGGTCATTGCAGAGACCGCCCCTCAGAAGTTCTCCCATTTGAGAGAAGTTCAGTCAGCTGAGCAAAAAGGTCCCTTGTGCCCTCACTGTCCAAGTAGAGCTTCGGCCAGGCTGGGCCAGGCTGCTGAAGGTTTTTATGGGAAGCTGGGGTCACGTTTCAAGCAGGCGAGTACGCGGCGGTGGACTTTCAACTCGAAGCGGTCTTCGAGGACTTCGAGTGGGAGACGGTTGGGTCCACTGTGAGCAGAGAGCCAAGCAGGATGCTTACTCCATAGTTCTCGACGGTGGCAAGTCGGCTCCCCAGTCTCAAGCACATGAGTCGCATTGGATTCTTCGCAAGTCCCGGAGGCCTCTACACCTCGTCGCTGCACCAGGCAAACCAGCTCTGGACTTTGTGTTCATTGAACCTGTTTGTCGCCGCAAGCTGTACCGTGAAGTATGCCATCTTGGGCCAAGGAATACTTCCTGTTCAATACGCGCCAGCAGACGTCGATGTCAACTTTGGCTGTTCAAGGCCTGAGCTTCCTCGGTTTGGCTACTCCTGTAGCCTGCACAACCCCGCCCGACTCTCGATAAGTCTGGTGGATTTCTTGGCTCAGGCATGTAGCCGCCTTTTCCACAAAGCCAATTCATGCCTTCAATTCTAATTGATGCCGAGAAGTTGTTGCTGTGCTGTGCGAATCGATGCATGGCACGAACATGGGAGCCACCATTTACGGTGTGCCTTCGCCTCTGCATCCGAAACTCAATGTAGAAGCTAGTGCATGATGTTTTGATCGACTCGCTCAGAGTCAACACGAGACTGGCTTCCCAAGAGACATGGGAACACATACAAAGCAAGTTCTGATGTCCAATGATTGGCCCGGCAGCCGTAGGGTACTGGCCGCTAGACGACCGTAGTTACACCGTGGGGCTCTTGCGTGTCGGACAGTGGTGTGCTCGTTGCATCCAAGTGTATGGCATTTTTGCAACAGTTGAACTTGCAGTTCCCTACGATGCGTCTGACCCAGAGATGGATCTTGCCGTGGCCTTGGTTGGCCGAGGTTTGGCTTCAGGTGGCATTGGTTCGGTTTGGTGCATGGTTACTGTTGGACTCGCGGCACCAGCCAGGAATCGGGTTTGAAGGCTCCAGCGGTCTTCCATGCTGGTCGCGGAACCCGTGTCATGTGACAGTCTTCTGCCAAATGCTGGTATAACCGAATTACTAACACGTGGCTGAAGTGTCCCGGCCAAGGTGAAGATGTTTCTCATGGAGTGCGGCCAGAATGGGAAGGATGACAAGCGGCTGCGCATAAACAGCTTTGCCATTCTCAACCGATGCAAGTGGTGCAGCGTTCCGGAGGATTCCAGCATCCACGATTCTGCGATGCCGTCTCAGCAGAGCCACAGGCCAGCGATGTGGAAGAGGGATTGATAGAGAGTCGCAGCCGTTCAATTCGCATGCCAGTCAGCGCGGAGTTGTAAGTTCGCGCTGGCAGCTCATGGCAATGGTGGTCTGGCAGCCATGTTTAACTTCAGGCAGTCAATTTACTCAGCACCAGCGTCTTTTGCAGAGATGCATTCCAGGCACACCGGTCCGAAAGCACAGGTCAGGCTCGTATGGTATTTTGTTGCAAGGTGAGCTCGAAAGCTTCGCTGATCATCATAGGTTCATGTCACGGGGTGACCGTGGCAATCATCTCGCACCGTACCCAGGCCGTACCGCCGGTGCCCAAGTTCAGTTTGCACAACTCATGCAGCCAGTATTGTTTCTGCATGAAAAGGATTGCCATTCGTGGGTATGGATGGCATCCAGGCCAGGGCACAACCTCATTCCGGTCGTAAGGGGAAACACGGGGCAAAATGCGACACTCGGAGTGCTCAGGTACACCGCTGATGCTCGGCGACCCGCTGGAGGGAGTGCTTGATGGAACAACCCTTAGTGGCCTGTTTTAGCAGCCCTTACTAGTATCAGCGAAATTATCACGACGAGGATCTCGTAGCCTCAGCTATGAAGTCGTGCCTGACGAGAGCGTGGAGGAGCGCAGACATGAGAAAGGCAAAGAGCGATGTCGGCAAAGTAGCACGTGCATGTAGACTGAGGGTGCTTGTGTCCGGTTTGCCGGCCGGCTTCCCGACCAGGACGTTGTGCTGGATCTCGAAGCTTCGAGCACAGTATGTTGTTGCAGCTGCTATGACTCTGAATCTCTGATTGGAGACCTCCCTTCTCAGGTTTGTGCAGGCAATTTGCTGCTTCAAACCGGGATCCGGCCAGGCAGCAAGGCCTAAGTGAGTGCAGTCATCAAGCAATGCCGATGCATTACTGTCGATTCGATTCTCTTTGAATGTGCACTTTGCCAGACAAGCGGTGGGGCGGGTGCTGGCCTAGGCGCAGGGAATCGTACAAGTGCAGTTCGAGAGGAGCTGTGGCAAGTGCCTCGAGGTGGGCACGACCTCACAAGCGGCGGCATCTCACGTTTGAAAATGCCTCTGAAGATGAACGGGTGGGTTCAGGTGCACAGAAACATTCGCGAAACACATGCTTTCCGATTCGCCAGCCTGTCACAAGATATCATCCGCGGACGGCCGCTATGCACGCTATGTCCTCACGGTTCAGGATGCTTTGGCTCATGCAGTTCACCTGGTTTTAGAGCGAACCTTGGTTCGCTGTAGCTCTCACTCATCATGTTGGCTGATTGATCCCTGGAAGGATGCTGCCGATGTCACATGGCTGGATGCTGCAGACCTCCAGAGGTTGGGCTCAGTGGCTACTGGATGCTATTGGGCCTACTGCTGTCGCGATGTATGCGGGCGTGGAGCATCTCTGCGTTTCACTGCAACCATCGTGGAGGTCCGTGCTGGTGCTACAACGGTCTGGAGGCGTTCACGTCGCGTGAGTCTCAGAATGTTCGGTCAGCTCGGTCTGTGTTGCGATATTCTGGGACCTGACCCGAGGACTGGCGGGCCGCGAGTCTCTTCGGTCAAGGCCAGGGTAAACCCTCTGCTTCCGGTTTCTGCCCTGACATATCTCATGATCCACACGGGGCTTGGCCATGTGGAAACGAGCATGCGAGCATATGTTTGCATTGTGAAGCATATGCATAGATGTCACGAAAAACCATGTCTCCATCTATCTCGCTCTCTTTCTCTCCCTTTCTTTCCCTTCTCTCTCTCTCTCTCTCTATCTCGCTCTCTCTCTCAAAGTTCTGTAGTCGAATCTGTGTCGTGGTCTAGAGCGGTCTAGTGGCTGTGGCTGCGTGACCACGGCGGGGCCTTGCAGAGGGTCAGGCTGACATGAATTCTACCAGGATAGGTACATGAGGCGGTTGAGTCCGTAACAAAGACGGGGCGCACTCATCGATGCGCACTCATCGATGCCCATGGCATGGGCTGCTCTCTTGAGCGGATGATGTTCTACTTAGACTTCTTAACAGTGTCTCAGCCAGCGCTCATCCCTATCCCGTCAAGCGTCGTACCCTAGGCCGCGATACACAAGCTGTGAGGTCACGATGTAGATCCGCGTGCCCGGTACGAGGCTGATGGTACAGGAAAGCTGACTTGGTGCAACATGCTCGAAGGACATGCTCAAACTTGCATGCTTGTCATCGGAGGTTTTCTACGGCAGGATGGACAAGCTGTCTTCAAACGTCTCCACGGCATGTGGACTGTATCTGGAGTCGCTGAGCCAAAGTAGACATTATTGATTGGCCAAACTCTGTGTAAATCTAAAAATAGCCAGGTGACTCGTGCAGCAGCTTAGCTGAGGCACTCGCTTCGAAATGCGAGGAGGATCGTCGTCGACGGGGCAACCGAAGCGCGTATCGAGGCAAAGAAGAAAGAACCGCGGCTGGAAAGTCCAGAATATGCCCACTCGTTTGTGTCAAGGACTTGCAAGCAGGCCATTATGTGGTGAACGTGGTTGCTAGGACAGGAAGTGACGCAGCGCCACCGGTACAAGGATCAGTGCCAGCCTTCTGCAAGGAGCTTGGCAACTGGCCACGTGGTCGCTTACCAGCCCTGGGTTGGTGATCTCGATGCAGTCAGGAATCAGAGCCACGCGCAGAAGCCCTCGGCACGTCCGCACACGTCCGCACATCCGGGGCTTTGGCCAAGCAGGACCACTGGGGCGATTGCGGACCGGAAGGCATCCTCCGGGCCTGCGGCCAAGGACGCGCGGAACTTACAGCCGACAGCCAATGCTCGCTTCAGAGGTTCTGGCCTGACTGGCCTCTTCCAATCTTGCTTCTCGTGGGCAGTCTGGTGGTACGTGGCTCAGAAGAGATTCGCCTTCCTTGCCTCTGCGAACGTCTTTCTGGAAGGCATGGCAGCTCTGCAGAGCCCTGAGGTGTTGTGTCGGCAGTTGACGATTGCTTCATTTCGCTTAATTCAGGCAAGGGCGGTGCAAACCGCTTGCCGCCGTTCAGCTTGGAGTTGCCCCCCTGGAGGAGGCTTGCATGTGTCAAGCAGTGATCAGCAATTGGCAAAAATGCGTGGACGTCTGCCAGTTCTCCACAGCACTACCAAAGCCTGGACGGTTACCTTCACAGACGTTGTCTCGTTTCAAGTGTCAGAGTGAACAGCAGGAACAGCTGTGTCATGCCTCCCGCGTCGTGCCAAGGCCGTGAAATTGGTGGGCGCTACATTCCACCGGCCATTGTGGAAGCCTCGGAACCAGAACGAACAGAGGGAGACAGTGCGAGCGCGACAGACCGAGAGACCAAGTTTCACCGTTGCGATTTGCGTAGTCTTTATTTTAGCTGACGACACCTTGCCTGCCAATCCGGCCTGGACGGGTGCACACTTGCAGGGAGTTTCGTTCGGGCCCTTTCTCGAAGACCGAAGAAGAAGAGCAGAGCGACGCTGTCGTCAACATCGAGCTAAGCCACAATGCGGGATAGCCACCGCTTCGAAATGAACCTTTTCAGCAAAGGGACGTGCGGTAGAAGAAGATGACCTCCCTTTCGGGCTGGGTTTCGCCTGCCCTGCATGCATTGGTGTAAAAGAAGAGACTACATCAAAGTGCGAGCATGTGCGAGAAGATGTCAATGCTATCTGGTGACACCTTAATCTCGATGTGTCCTGGTGCAGTGAGCCTGGGTGGAGCGGTCCTCCGAGTGATGTGCCTCTACACTAGTAGTCGGAAGCTGGCACAGACGCCACTGTACATTATTGTACATATCGTCTTTCGCGGGATCGTTCAGCCATCTCCCATGCGGAGTAGGCAAACGATAACCTGGTCAGACTGATCGGTTTCGAGAGATAAAAGTCCAGCTGCTGCTTTGCTGTCTTGACTTTTCACGAGGACCTCGCAGCTTCAAGTTTCGCTTGAAATGCAGCTGCTGACGAGGAGACTGTCTCGCAGCTGTTCTGGCTCTCAGGGCAGCTCCGTCGATTCTTGATGGACGAAGTCCAGTTCAAGCTCTCCTAATGCAGACCTATCTTTCGATTGGAAGATGTGCTGCCATCATCGCAGCATCCGTGCTGGCAGTTGAAGCTGCCAAAGCCACGTCTCTGTCAAGCCGGGCTTCCATGTTGCGCAGCCTCAGTGGTGGTGACAAGCTGCCCGTCAGCCTGGAGAATATTGAGACCGCATTGCTTGCGCTTGAGAAGCAGCGAGGAACGCCAGGACTGAGGAATACTGTTACAGAGATTCACAAGATGGTGACACACATGGAGATGATGGTGCAACAGCAAGCCCGGCTGACCCAGCAGACCCTTGATCAGGCTTGGTCTGATTTCACTTCTTGCAAAGGGCTCTACGAGGCCGGTTCACACTCAGGCCTCCAATCTGTGGACAGCTTGGCAAAGGATCATGCCGCTTGCCGCCTTGAAGAGTCCAGTTCGAAGATTGAGCTGGAGGCTTGTGAGAGCGAGCTGACGGCAAGAACTTCAAGTGAAGTGCAGCGGAAGAACGAGTTTGATGCCTTGAACAAGTTTCCAGCTAGTGGGTTCTGCAACCACCGCACCAATTCACACGAGTACGCAACGGTGAGGGGTTATATCAAGCACTTTCGAGATCATTTCGCTTCGCACCTGAACTCATGGGAAAATGCTTTCAATGCCTCAAACACTGCGACAAGATTGAAGCTTGAGAAGTCTCGGGAATGTTATGGTGGAGATCAGACACGTGATGGGAAGGGCGGCAAAGATGCTGCCCACAAGAACAAAAAGCTTAGCTGCCAGAAGCTGCAGGCCAATCTTGAGGATGCAGCATGTGATCGAATAGCTCACAGAACCGACTGTGTCGCCTACGTGATGTGCTATCAATCCAACCACAAAGCCTTCTTCGATGCTGGCCAGGCAAAGGAAACCGCACTCTTGCAGTCGCAGAAACAGCTCACGGAGTACCGTGGTCTTGGCAGAATTAAATGTGTACTCAATGCGTATTCGAAGTATGAAGATGGTGAGTCGCTGACACAGTCCATTGCGGATTGTCAGAAAGTGAATGCCGACCAGACCTTCTTCCAGATCGAACTTCCTGATCAAAAGCCGGGTGCCATGCCTGCGAACAACACGGGCTGCCTCAGCCAGAATTCTGCTGAGAAGCCAGGCACCTTGCTCAGTTCATCTTGCTACGTTAGACCAGAACACTGTGCTGCGTTGCAGAATCTTCAAGTCCGGCTCAGGCACCCAAGCGTTTTCACAAGAGATGTACAAGAACCTTATTGGTCCGGATGAAGCTGTTCATTGGGACAACGTGAAGGACGATGTGCTAACATGTCGCAGACCCAGCGATGAGCTTGTTGGGCATGTCGTGCACGCATTACCGACAAGCATTTCACATGGTACATGCACCTGACATCATGCATGCCAACTGCCGAGGCAGGGGAAGATGCTGCGCATCACCTGCTGAAGCAACGGTGTAGTAGTATGGTTCGGACGTGACAACACTCATTGTGCCGAACTGCAATGCAGACAAAAAGGTCAACCTCTTGAAATAGATTATATCGACGATGGATCTTAGATCAATCGCGCCGATTATTAACTCGCAATGCTCATCTCAGGGCTCACAACATGAGAATCTATTCGTTACATGAACTCCGCCGCCTCAAGACATTCGTCGCCCTATCGCCCACCACTCCACGATGAATATACGCCCTAGCCCTCCTGCCCTCCCCGCCCTTCCCGGAAGACACGCACTCGACCACCATTCCACAATATTCTTCATAACTTCATTATTATTCGCCGCATCATGCTTCACGACTCTCCTTTCAAACTCGCACGGCATTTTGCACGATATACATACTATCGCCCTACCGGCCATTCTGCGACACTCGCACCCTCGCCCCACCCCCCCCGGCGCCACGCCTTCGCCCACAACTTGCTTGCATTTCCACGTCCCAATCTATAGCTGCGACGAATAATAGAATCATACGATTATATGATAGATATGAGGAATTGTCACAATACTTTAGTTCATATCATTCGAGAATATATCATATATGATATATATATATATATATTCTCTAATAAAACGGTGTCGTGCTGGTCGCCCCGGCCCCTGTAACCTCGTCCTTTGGCGCGTTTCCTTTTGAAAGCCTCTTGCGTGCTTGTCTCGCGGTACTAAAATTTCGGAAATTTTAGTACCGGTACTAAAACTTCTGTTAAATTTCGGAAATTTTGCTAGCTTAAGGGGAATAAGCTCCCGTAATGAAGTTTCCGAAATTTTCGGTAGGCATGCTCGCGGTCATAGAATTTCCGAAATTGTTGGGACATGCTCGCGGTAATAAAATTTCCAAAATTTTAGTACCGGGAGCATGTCCCAAAAAAGAGGCTTTGAGGACCGATTTCAGGGCCACTCGAAAAGCACGCAAGAGGCTTGCAAGAGGAAGCGCATCAGGATGTGAGTGCCGAAATTTCAGTGCCGCGAGACAGGCACGCAAGACACTTTCAACAGGAAACGCGTCAGGATCTTGGTAGCAGGAGCTCCGGTGCCGCTCTGTCTTAATGCAGGTGTCGATGTGTCTCTGTTATGTGTCTGTGCGTCTGTCTCCGTGTTTGCTTTTGGCAAGCAGGAGCTGTTTTGACTGTGAGATCGATAAGCATGGACAGCCACTGTGTCATTCTCTGTGTGTCTGTCTATGTGTCTGTCTGTCTGTCTGTCTGTGTCTGTCCTTCTGTGTGTCTGTCCGTCTGCGTGTGTGTCCGTCTGTGTGTGTGTGTCTGTCTGTGTGCGTCTGTCTGTGTGTGTCTGTCTGTCTGTCTGTCCGTATCTGTCTCTGTCTGTTTGTTTGTGTCCATCTGTCTCTGTGTCCGTCTGTTTGTGTCTGTTTGTGTCTGTCTGTCTGTATCCGTCTGTTTGCGTCTGTCTGTTTGTGTCTCTTTGTTTGTGTTTGTCTGTGTGTGTTTGT